AAGTTGAGAAAGAACGTGGAATCACAGTTAAAGCACAAACAGCCTCACTTAATTATACATATAAAGGAATTAAATATCTTCTTAATTTAATAGATACACCTGGTCATGTTGATTTCTCTGCTGAAGTACATCGTTCATTAGCTCCTTGCCAAGGAGTAGTTCTGGTAGTAGATGCTAATGATGGTGTACAAGCACAAACTGTGGCTAACTTTCACTTAGCTATGAAAAATAATCTAGTTATAATACCAGTAATTAATAAAATAGATTTAAAATTTGCCAAACCTGAGAGAGTTATAAATCAATTAGAAACATTATTTGATATAACAGAGTCGGATGTTTTAAAAATATCTGCTAAATTAGGTACTGGAGTGCTTAAAGTCTTAGATGCCATAGTAGAAAGAATCCCACCACCTGATGTATGTAGAGACAAACCTTTCAGAGCTTTGATATTTGACAGTTGGTATGATAAATATAAAGGAACAATTTTATTGATATATATTAAAGAAGGATCTTTATCCCTTAAACTACATATTGTTTCAATGTATACTAAGAAGTCGTACGAAGTTAAAAATATGTCACTATTGAGACCTTCTGAAGAAAATGTAAATAAATTGTAAATATGAATTTTATGAAAATATTACATTATTAATTATATAATAATATAACATAATATAATAACAATAGTATATTTTAGGTTCGCAGGTCAAATAGGATGTATTTCATGCAACATGAGATCTTCCAAGGAAATGATTATTGGAGATACATTACATTTAAAAGATCATGTTGCTGAACCTTTATTAGGATTTAAAACTCCAAAACCAATGGTTTTTTCAGGTGTCTATCCAATTGAAAAATCGCAATTTGAAGTTATGAGAACTGCTATTGAAAAATTAACATTGAATGATAGTAGCGTTACTATTGAAATGGAAACTAGGTATTTTTTTCTAATATTTTCTAAGCCTATTAAATCAGTTAAATAAAATGGAAGACATACAGGTACAAAATAATAGACATATTTTATATCTATTTACTTTATCTAAGCACTTTATATCTTCTTTTATTTAGTGTAGCTCTTGGACATGGTTGGAGACTTGGATTTTTAGGTTTACTACATATGGAAGTATTTATGCAACGACTTGAGCAAGAATATGGTACATGTTCAATTGTGACAACACCTAGCGTTACATATAAAGCAAAAATTTTTGGCAAAAAGAATATTAAAGAATACAAAACTGATATGATTTCATTCAATAATCCTGCAAAGTTTCCTGATACTAACATTGTAGAAAAATTATATGAACCTATGGTATTAGGATCTATTATAGCACCAAGTATATTTAATATATTATTAATTAAATTTTACGTATAGTATAGTTAATTAAAAAATAATACTTATAACTTATAATTTTATACTAGCTGAATATGTGGGTACTGTTTTAAGTTTATGCTTTGAAAGACGTGGAGTGCAACAAACAGCAAAAGATATTGGTCATAATAGAACACTGTTTCAATTTTTACTGCCACTGAACGAAATTATTGTTGACTTCCATGATACATTAAAACAAGCAACTTCGGGGTATGGTACTTTTGATTATGAAGACCATAATTATCAGCCTACAGATATTTTAAAGGTAATTATAGTTCTTTTGATATTATAAATGCAATAATTTTGTATTGAAATATTTTATAGTTTACTTCACTACATTAATAACTGCTTGTTATAGTTAAATATTGCTCTAAATGGTAATGTAGTAGAAGAACTCAGTACTATTGTACATATTAGCAAGGCTCGTACAACAGGTAGACAAATATGTGAAAGATTGCTAGATATTCTTCCACGTCAATTGTTTGAAATAGTAATTCAAGCAATAGTAAGTGGAAAAGTAATTGCAAGAGAAACTTTAAAACCATACAGGAAAGATGTAACTGCGAAACTGGTAAATAATTTTTTTATATCATACATTGTATATTGTTATATATTTTTGTTATTAATCTTTTTTATTTCAGTACGGTGGTGATATCACTAGAAGAATGAAATTATTGGCTCAACAAGCACAAGGGAAGAAGAAAATGAAGATGATTGGAAAAATATCTATACCACGAGAAACATTTATAGATCTTTTTAAGAAATAGTATAAATATAAAAATTATTATCATTTTATCTTTTATATTTAATGTAACTATAGATATATATCATGTTAAAATAAATTATTAAATATATTTTCATGTTACGTTCTATTTAGTTGCCGCGTCTGGTAGCGTTAACTGACGTTTAATGCAACTAGCAATAAGCTCCACTTTCGGTTAACGTGCTATGTGCGGGAATACTGGCACGGGAGAGGATTAAAGTTGTTCGAAAGTAAATTAACAATATGTAATGATTACTAACTCTTCGACAGACAAAATGATAACTAACTCTTCGTAATTATATTTATTACTAATCATTCGGTTGACGAACGGTAATTAATTATTTGTATTCGATAGACGAAGGGTAATTAATATACTGACTTCTCTGAGTCGCTACATTTATGTATATCTGTCGGTGATGAAAAAACGTCGGGGTCTTTCTTTTGAAAATGTTTGGGAAGATCCCCAACGTTTGTTCAACTGCCAACTTTGTTTACAATTTAAATTGTCTTAATATCGTTATAAAAACATAATTAGGTAAATATAAAAACATAGATTAGTTTCCGCAAGATATAGCTTTCAACGGCTTTAACTGCCTTTCACTTCAAATACTGTAAACACGGTTTCAAATAAACGTTTTAAATTACCTTGATTTGAAAGAAATTACCAATTTTACTTTCGCGCTACGGATCGCGCGGCGCGCGGGACGTGACATTTCATATAACTAATTTCTTGCTATCTATAAATATAAAACAGTTTTTAAGATTTATTTAATAATTTTAATATTTTGACAATGTTTACACTATTAGAAAAATTTATTTCCTTTATAAATTTATCAAAAAATCAAATTATGGTACAAATATATCATTGATTTACAGAATTAGGTGAAGGATCTGACAATTGATGTGCGCTATTTGAAGATACAGTATTTACAGAGCTTACATTTTCTTGCTTAAAAGTTGAGTTAGTGTTAAGATTAATATTAATTATAGATGTAGATGCTGGATCTTGCATATCTAATTGACTTTGAGCAATATCTTGCAAGGCAGCTTGAATCCTTTGCAAAAGTGCTTCTCCTTGTTTTACAACTTCCTCTAGTTGTTCGCCAGCTTCTTGGTTTTCTTGTTCAAGACGGCTAAGACTTGCAACTTGTAGTTCTTGTGATGACTCTTCACTCGGTAAACTTTCTATCAAGGTATCAATATCTTTTGCACATCTTGCTATAAGCGTTGCAAACAAGGCTGCATAATCTAAAATATAAGTATAATTCATATATAAGCTGCCAATATGAAATTTAATGAAATAAATTATACATAAAAGTACCTTCTTGAGGTTGATGCGGTTGAGGTGTTCCAACACGATCAAAACCAGGAAATTTACTAGGTGTTGAATATTGTTGTAAAATACCTACGCTGTTACAAAAATGTTCTGCCTGCTGGAATAACATAAAAATTAGATTGTTACATATTATATTTATTTACACAATTTACACAATCAATTACCTGGTTTATAGTATCTTGCAACTGTGTTAAACGATCTGCCATATTTTAAAAATATAACCCTTAAAATTATATTATTCCTATAAAATGATCAATAATGGTATCCTACGTATAACATCACTGTAATCAACTATAATATTCAATTTTTTACTAAGAAATGCGATTGTGAAGTTCCTCACTCTAAGAAATTAACTTTCATGCTGCGTTCAATTCCAATCTTAAAATTTGATTGTTAGGTCTTTGATGTTGGCGAACATGTCATTAAAGAGAGATATTTCGAGTTCTAGGGATAGTTTGTGTACGAGATATCTTGAGTTTTCGATATGAAAAACATATTCACAATTTAATTAATAAATTTTATTCCTTGTAATGAATGTTAGAAAAACAAAAATGACGGTCTTTAGGAAATGCTTAAGTATTACAAATAAATTTACATTTATAAGAAAAACCTTAAAGAGGAAGAAATAGAAGATTATAAAAGTAAATATTAATAAAATAGTTATTCTGACTGATATTCCGTTTTTGAGGTAAAGACATTAAAATATGTATGTAATTATATATTATTAATATTAAAATATTCTGATTAATAAAATTGTTGATATGTGTTGTTATGAATTAAGTCACTTAAATTGTATTATTTCTGATATAGCATTATTATATAATTTTTTAGATGTTTATAACGCATTTAAGTATATAATTCTTTTTTAAATATAAAGTATCGAAACATTTTGTTAAAAACAAAACAGAACATTACAAAAAACTTTTGTCAATTTTATATATATATATATCGTTTTTATATTTTAATTAATTATGTGTCATTTAAATGCTTCTTTAAAAATATCCTTTATTAGAAACAGAAGTTATGAATATGAAAGAAACACATAGAGACGATATAATAATTCCTAGTTCTCGGTTCCTACTTACTGGAATGTTGCTGATATCATTACTCTCAAATGACATAAAAAAAGTCCCTAAACTTAATATATATTCGTACATATATATATATATATATATATATATATATATATATATATACTCCTTATATTCGATTTTTTTTCTCTTTGAGGCGATTTTCGCATATAGATATCGACATATACATATTTTATTTATAAGAAACGTAAATATATAAAAATTATTAAAAAGTATTATATTTATAACTCGATTAAACTGACTTTGTTAAAAAAAACGGAAATTTTTTTCATTGTCGGTTGACACGAGCGCTTTTAAAAATTCTTATTTTATTTTTAACAGAAACATAATAGGAATAAAACCTTAAGTTATGTATATACAAAAACAATCGTAAATTATAAATATTTTATAACGTTCTTGAAATTTATTTTAGGTACTTAATGCAATTATCGTAATTATGAGGAGGATGTTAAAAAAGAGGAGTTTCATATTAACATAATTTAGCATTTTTCCATTGCATTTTATAAAATGTTTACATGGGGAAATATTTACAAAAATATGAGTAGGGTATGATGAAATGTAGAAGACAGGAAAAGGGATGAACAATATAGTTTTATGAACGATTCAATTGAGAGTACCCCGACATTGAGGAGCTCCACATAGGCAAGGGATTTTATCATCTTCCAATGGAAATTTATAGTCGTACGTGATTTCCTCGTTAACTCCTATCGGCTGTTTACTATAGATTACAATTTTCTTTTGGCTTTCGATCGTAATTACTTTTGCATAACAATTCGGCTGAAACATAAAAGAAAATTAATAGTACGACCTATATCGTTATAAAAATTTATTCTACAGGGTGTCTCGATAATCGTGGTACAATTGGTAAGGAAGAAATTCTACGTAAAAAAAATTGAATTTATTTGTTTTTTCATAAAGAATCGTCCACTCTGTCGATTTTACCATGATTATTGGAATACTATACACAAACACTAGAACAATACTCACATTGCAACTATGATTAATGAACCGTGCTAAATTTCCGCATTTTGTTGCATCGATAATCGTGTCTAAATCAATACGGAAAAGGTAGGAGCTACCGATACCGGTAGCTTCGTACTGAGACTCTCGTAAATCAGCAACAACTGGCCTGATCATTTGTCCAACATATTCAATAACCATTTCATCAGCAGCAATTGGCTCCATAGCAAATAGACCCCAGTCATGTATACCAGATTTAGCAAATTTCAATTGTTTTTTCCTAAACTGTAAAATGAAATAAACGCATTTGATATCAATTAACTTCACAGTAGTTGAAAATAATTTAGAGCCAATGATCAAATAAAGCAATTGAAATCTTACTTTCAATTGATTAAATTTAAGAAGATCGCTATCAGTATCGATACCGAAAGCTGTTAATAATCGACGTTGATTACTTCGGGCCTCACGAGACAGAGCTTGCATTTTGCCAGTTAAAGCTTTAGTATTGTTCTTTGGACCATTCATTATTCCATCACTACCAGCATAAGGACCATTACTATCCTCAACGTCGTTACTTCGTTGTATACTTTGCGCATAGTGATGCTATACAAAAATAATTTTATAGTAAGAAAGATATTAATGTAGTGGCTTATAAAAATATTCAAAACTTTTTATGGATATATTACGTATGTTATACAAAGCATTTTGAAATTTCATTAGCTGACTAGATAAGATGTAAAACGAATTTTGAAATATACATATACGGAAGTAAGTTACATTACACTTTGCAAAGATCAACAAAGTATTTGAACAGCCAATTATCTGTTATACTAGTACAGCACAATCAAATAAAATGAAATGTAATGAATTGTAAAAAATGTTTAAGACTCTTTCTTGTGATTTTAATTAGTCTCAAATTTTGCCAATATTATCATGTCTTATTATAGTGTTAATAAAATTTCAAAATGTTTTGTGTAGCATATACATACATAAAAGTTATCTATGTTAAGTATTCAGATATTTTCGTACGCCACTGTATGTTAATTCTTATATTAAAAGATCAGTCACACATACCTTATGTTTAGCTTTTTCTCGTACATCAACCTTATAATATCCTTCTGTTCTTGCACTTCCACTCGTATGTAATCTAAGTTCATCTCTCTTTCTGCGTTTCGCAGGACTTGGAATATCAGTTGGAGGATGGTCAACCCAATGCGTGTCATTTAACCAATAACCTTGACTATCATCGGCCAACAAAGCCTCGTAACTTCGTCTTAAATATTCTACATCCTCTGCATCTATTCCTCTGGTTAAAAATTCATACAAAATAGCCATCTCCGACATAAGATCGCGTTCTTTGTATGTAACAAGTGGCTCCTCAACTTTCTTTGGATATTTCTCATAAACATATTCATTTTCAATATTCTCTTTCTCTCCTTCATGATTTTGATGAGCATGTATCTTCGTGTATTTATTGTATTTTCGTTTCTCTACTTTGTGTATCTTGTCTTTACTCTTCGATAATTTCATAATCTTTGAGGATTTAAGTTTCACTGGTTTCATTGGTGTCGAAGGTGTACGAATTACGGACTTCGTTATTTCTGATTGTGTTGGTGGTAATGAATACGAATGCTCCATAAACACTTGTGAAGCTTGAGAATTTTTAGGACTCTGTTGACCATTAAGTCGGAGGTCAGCTTCAGCTTGATACCTAATTAATTGAAAACAATACAACATTATATTTTACATTAGTTTATGTAGTATAAAACAATACTTTTAGGGAATATATTTTTATTTTGATCAAGTTTAGATTTATAGTAAGTAATTTTACGCACCTTAATCTTCTAATTTCTAAGCTTTCTTCCTCTGAATCGGTGGTAGGTATTTCACTAAACATTTCGATCTTTTCTGATTCTTTTAATATAGGTTCGTCGTTAATGTACTTAGCAGACATAGTTTGAAGAGCTCTAATAATATTTGGTTGTACAGGTCCCGGACTTCTATGCCTTATAATATTATCTTGGCCAGCTAATGTTATCAAAGCTTCTGCTGCAGAATTTTCCATTTTTTGTATATCACATGGTTCTTGTTTACCTGGTGTTACTAAAGTACTCTTTACTTTTCTTTGTATCTCATCTTCCACATTCTTTTTTTCCATCTCTTCATGCACTGTTCGAACCTTTTCAAGATAATCCTCATTGACAGATATTTCATTTGTCTTCTCAATGTCATCTTTATCACTTTCATATTTCAATGGAGATGATACAGGGCTAGCTTCATTATCACACTGTGGGAATTCATTCGAATTTACATCTTTTATTTCAATATTAGGTACTGGTGTCTCTCTACCAGTAGGGGTTGGACAATCTAACGATCTCTGAATTGCGAGTTCCATTAGAATATCAGGATCTTCACTGTTACAGGCCAGTGGACGATGATCTGACAAACGACTGTCTGTATCTTGCTAAAAATAATAATTATTTCTATGAAAAGATATGAAAAAGTATCACACTTGAATATTTAGGAAAATAGTTACAAGTTATTTAGTTGTTATATATTTTACATAATTATACAATTTTACAGCTACAAGAAAATAGTTATTTGTACTTTTAATAAATTATATACCTCATCTTCAAAGTTTCCAGAACATACTTCTTCATCGGAACTATCACTCGAACTACTGGAAGATTCACTGCAACTCATTTCTTCACTACTACTCTCACTCGACGAGGATGACGAGGAAGATGACGAAGAAACGCTTGGAAGAGAAGTAACTGGCCTTTTAACTTTTTGTACTGATGCTAGGTCAAGATCGCTATCGCTCCCTATAAGTTCTGTGTCACCATGATCAGACTGACGACTATCTTCGTCCTGTGGTAATGGGCTTGGAGCTTTGATTTTGCGCTAATAGTATAAATTTTAAGTAATATGTTAAATAAAGTGTATTATTACTTTAAATAAGTACTTTATCATTATTTTATATATTATTAAATATTTACTATACATAATGTCATTAAAGATAAACTTTCATATAATGAAAATAAATACCCTGAAAGAAGGCATCTTTGGCATGCTGGCTCTAATGCCCAGACCAAATCCATCGTAATTAAATCCAAGTGGAGTTCCTTGTTCTAAAAGTAATGATAATCCTTGAGGTTTCTGTCCTTCTTCCTTATTACTGTTATTAATAATGGTGTTCTCGCCTCCTTGATTTTGAATTTTCTCTGATTTCTTTTCGTCCCACCATACTTCGAACAGTTTGAACGCAGTATTTTCAATCATCTTTTTGTTAAAATCCCTTTTTAGAATTTGTTTTAATTCATTTACAACTCTGTTTAATACACCATTAATAGTAGGACCCTAAATGTTCAGAAATTAGGTTATAATTAAATAATATTCAAACTGGTCAAAATTGATATTATATCATATTTGCACTTAAGAAATATATATGTACTTGTGGATTATCTTTCGTAATATTATGATTTGCCATAGCATGAAGTCTCGATTGAAAAGATGGATAATAATTAGCTCCTTGATGATTCCCTACTGTGCCAGAAAATGATGTAGTATTTGGTTGATAATGACTTTGTAAATATGTTGTTGTTCCATAAGGGTACGGATATTGTGCTGGTCTTGGCCAATGGTACATATCACTGGTAGAATAATGAGTTAAATGTCCAGGATAGCCAGCTCCTGGATATATCTGACTTGTAGGTTCTGTTTGAGCTATAACCTGTATATTTAAATAATAAGATACATGAATAAATATTTATATTCACTATTTAATACTCATAGTGTTAAATATTACCTCTTCAATTTTTTCATCCCCTGAACTTAATGGACTTAATGACATTCTATCATCATCTGGTGGAGGTGGAGGTGGCGGCTCTTTTGGTGGTTCTGGTTCGATTTCATCTGGTGCAGGACTATAACTTCCCAGTAATGCTTCATCTTCGCTCGAACTTATAACGCTACCTAAATCTTCATCAACAGAAATTTGATTCATGCTATTTTCATGTACTTTCCATCGTTCTTTATTCCTTTCTCTCATTTTTTCAAAACACGATTTGTATGTTTCATGAGAGAGAAAAGGGCTTGGTGGTTCTGAGAGCATCTCATTATCTGCAGTGATAGACTTTTTTTCATCCTCAGAATCGCTACCAAACTGTAGGAAAGGTGGTGCCATTCCTCCTGCTTTGTCTTTCAATAACATCGCGATTCTAGTATCCAAATCTAATGTTTTGCGAGTCTCTATTGGTGAATCTCGTGATGAATTTTTTGTTACATTTTGATTTTCTTTCTCTTTCTTAGGTGTATGATGTAGCTTTACATTAGAAGCCTTAGAAACTGAAACTGGATTAGAATTAGAATTATCTAAATTTGTCCCATGTTGAACAGGCCACATAGAAGATGATGCATAACTTGCCGTCCCTGTATTATTTCCCCACCATATACCCGAATTTTGCTGCATTGAAAGATTTTGCGATACATTTTGTGGTATATTTGCTAAATAATTATTTGGAGGTTGATGATGATAACTACTATAATAAAAATCATAATTTGTAGCTGGAGTAGAATTTTGAGAATAATTACTAGAATAATTTAATTCACTAGGCGCAGTACCATATCCTAAATCACTTCCTGCACTGCCACTAGGAGTAGGATAATCTCTATATTTGTTGTATCTTGAATTTTCTATGTAGATATCTCTTGATTTTTCTATATTGGATATCTTTTTATTACTTCTGAAATCATCTCTTTCTTCACTAATAATTTTTTCAATTGGAGTTTGCTTCCCTTGATCATTTTCACACTTTATTTCTTTCTCAATTTTCTTTTCTGGTTTTTTTTCCATAGTTAATTCATCATAGATCTTTTTACACTCCTCCCCAAATGCATCAAGAAATACTTTTAAAACTTTACCCATCACAGACGTGTTATTTAATTTTTCTACACAAGCTTTTGAAGCTTTCGTAGTTTCAAACACCACTCTCGCAATTCCAAGATGCTTGTTAGTTACAGGATGATAATAAACAATAAGTTCTTCTACAGCTCCAAATTTTTGAACCATATCTGATAAAAAAGTTTTATCAATATTATCATTTAAATGACAGAACGTTACTTCCAGCGGAGGAGGTTCACCGCAGTAATTAGAGTCAATCTTAAATCTAGGTACAGGTAAGTCAAGTTGTTCTAAACGTGTCCAAATTCTTGTTAACTGAGATCTAGGGTCCCGAGGTTGAACTTCAGGATAGGTTGGATCTCCTGGAACCATGCCATCGTATCTATATAATTTTGTTGCACCCTTTACTAAGAATGGATCAACTAATAACTTATAATTCCTTGGTTTCTGAGGTGTTTGAACCACAGATGTATCTTTTTGCAAATGCAGCGTATGAGTATGGCTATGTTTTGATGATTGACTGGAGTTTTGAGATACATTTTGTAAATTTCCATGTGAGTGACGATGACGATGCGAATGTGCATGTGAATGTCCGTGTCCATGTCCATGTCTCTCCATTCCGTTCATTGCCTCCAAGCATTATCCACTCATATAAATTGCTGCAAATAAAAGTTATTGATAAAAGTTGTATTACATAAAAAGCACATTATATATATCAAAGTTTCCAATATAAAATATATAAGCTTTCTTGAATTGTTTATAAATATGTAATGTAATATAATGGAGTATAAAAATGCATATGTATAGTAATTAAATACACAAAACAGTGAATCTTAAGTAATTTAATTAAATACATAAGTAATTATAATTTGACATTATACATACAGAATATTAACATAAAATGTTATATTATTACATATAAGTTTAAAAATCATATTATTAATTAAAGATTGAAAACTAATATATTTTTTAATATATAAAATTGTGAAACTATTAAACATTTAAAAAATTAAAATTACAAATAAACAAAAAATTAAACAAAATTAGATACACAGTCATCATTCTTAAAATAAAATATATGAATTTAAGTTAATACAAATAATATTACCTATTAATATGAAAATTAACGTATATTAAAAAAATTTACTCTTACTTTTAACTTACGTCCAGTTTGTTTTTGTTTGTCAGGTAAATTGCTTTGCTAGTTAATGCAAGAAATTCATGTTTCAATAAAACATAACCTTAAACATTTCGAAGTTTTTAGGTTGGAGTTTAGTGCGAAGAAACAATATGACAATCATTTCGTAAAAAGAATTCTTTCTATCATGTCCTTCAAATTGATTTTCTTGTATAAATTTCGATCGAGTCAAGACTTTTTTGTGGAAAAACACAGCCCTTAAATTTTACAGAGGTATGTTCCGGTTTTTTCAAAAACTTGTAATTTTTCAACTTGCTCGTATAGTGTCGTATTTACTATATGCACGTGATTTATGCATCGGCCTTGATACTTGTCTTTTCTTTATTCTTCGTTGATTTTTCTTAGTGAAAAATATACGGATTTATTGATACTACCTCTCCGACACACCAGCGCAAAACTACCTCAATGTTTGACTGTTAAGCACAACGCACTGCGCCCTGATTTTCCTAAATTTTCACAACTAACAATCAGTACTACGAACAACGGTATGCAAATTACCTAATTCAGTGAAACTTATTCCACTTGAACATAATCTTTAGGATGCATTTGTGGTTATTCAACGAAATCATAGCTTTAACAAAACTACGCGAACAGAGATTCAGATGACGCCATCCTTGTTATAAAGAACATGACGGTTCTTTTAATCATTTTACTAAACAAATCATATTAACATTTTCTACGAGAATAGATATTTTTGTGTTATCCGTGAAATAACGTTTCTAACATTCCTCGATGAAAATTGTTACGTTAAAGTATCCAAAATGAAAGTCCAAAGTAAACGGATAACGGAGCCAAAATATTCAACATTTTTTTTCGTTTCCTACTCTGTCTTGATTCACAAATTTTCGTATAGTTGAAAAGATAGTCGAAAATCTCGCCTACCGCTGGCATTCTGTATATTTACCAATAATTTGCAAAGGTAATTAAATGCTTAACGACAGTATTGCAAAATAATTGCTGAAAATCTTCTTCCCATACAATGTGTAGTATTTAATCCACGTATTGGTCAACCTTGATCTAAGAGAATTTTCTGGCTACCTATTAGCAAATCAACTTTCTGCTTTTAAAGAAAATTGCGCATTATAATGCGCACACGAATATACATATACATATGAATGCTTTACTTCATACAAACTCAATTTTTTAATATAACATATTTTCTTCACTGATATAAACTTAAAAATAAAAAGACTTAATATCATAAAATAAATATATTAATAAGCAAATTACAAATGTGCTCATCTTTATATTCATTATTGCAATATATAGGGTGTCCCAGTAATCATAGTACAATCGGCAAGGGGACGATCCTATGTAAAAAAGCAAGTTGAAAATGTAGAATAAAATTTTTTCATATGCCGCTTCTTTTTCAAAAAGATCTAATTTGAAAATTTGTTAAGTATGCTTGAATTTGACCAATTCTAAATTGGATAAGAGTGTATAATTGATAGGAGATTGTTTTGCACGTGGAAATAAATCGAAAATGTAAAATCAAATATTTTTTTGTGCGACGCTTTGCTTGTGAGGAAATGAAATTTGAAAATTTATCAAATATGCGCACAAAAAAATTTTACTCTACGTTTTTTAATTTTTTACACATAGAATCGATTCGTCAGCGATCACGCTATAATTAGTGAGACACTTTGTATAACAGTTTATAAACGAAATATAAATAAGAAGTTATATGGGTAATAATTAAATTTTAATAAATTAATTCATTCATTTTCATTTCAATGGAAATGATTTTATTCGTCCAAGATATAGTTTAAATGTTTTTGAAATTTTATTCAAGAATTGTTGCAATTGGTTAAATTCATGAAGATTTATAGAAATCGCACCTAAGCTTCTTACACTGCCGTCAATTATAGTCCATCTGTAAGACATGCAAGTCTGGCCAACATTTTCTACAGATCTATTAAATTTTACAGAACAAGTCGGAAAATTCGGTGCATATTTAAAATTAGCTCACAGTAACCGAGTAGGTTGAAATAAATATTACAAAAGATGTCTTTCTTACAAAGTTTTCTCCAACGTTATATGCCAACTGTAAAAGCAGAAGAAGAAGAATTGATTGATCCTCAAAAAATACTTCGTGTAAGTAAAAATTGTTATATAATATTTGTTCCCAATAATTAAGAATTTCATATCTCAAGTTTTAACGTTTGTAATTACTATTTGTTATTGCAATTACTGTTTCATTCTATTCTTTTAAATGTGATCTCTCTATCATATATAAGTCAAAATTTACTTCTATAAAACTATTGAAAGAATTTTCGTTGATATGTAATCAATTGTGACAAAAATTAAGTAACAAAAAATTTGGAGCACATTCATTTATAGTCATCTTTCTTTTACAATTAAAATCAGTTTGTCAAAGTAGTTACTACAATGTACACATATAATATATCAATTAAATTATTTTTGTAAATATTAGTTATAATTAAAATATAAATTCAATGTTAGAATACATGATTATTTTCTTCTTAGGAAAGATGCTCGAGACAACCTAAATGTACCAGTTTGCAAGAAAAACTGGACACTTGCAATCAGCGTGTTAATTCAAGGAGTAATACAGAGGAAACCTGTATGGAAGAATTAATTGATTATGTAGAGTGTGTAGATCATTGCGTAGCAAAAACACTTTTTAGTAAGCTTAAGTAAGATTATGTTATTTAAAAATGTGTGATCTTTATTATAAAATATGTTACAAATTAATTCAATGCATTGTAGATGAATAAGTAATGCTAGGAATAAATGATAATATATCAATAACAATTAACTTTCATCGACTCTCCTTTCATCTGTATTTAAAATTTAATAGCTATAAATTTAACAAACTTTCAACAAGAATAATCATATAATACAGCAAAATATATATAGTGTGATACACACAAAATGATATAAATTTTTGGTATACTTTTTTATAAAAAATGCATATGGAATGATATTTATTTTATTTACATATGAATATGTACTTTTTTATTTATTTCTTTGTTCATTCAGCACCTAGTTGCAATACATCAAAACATACTGCACAAACACGCACAGGTTTATTTAATCCAAATTTTACGATTGGAACATCTTGATCGGAGCATTTATTACATAAAATTCGACCACAATGACGGCTAAAAATAATAAAAATAATTCATTTTAGGTAAATCTTAAATATATTGATTTATAAATTTATGTAAGTTCAAAGATTCTGTACCAGTGATGTTTTCGCATTGTAAGGGAAAATTTTGTACCACATTCCAGACAAAGATCTTTATCTGCCCATGGTGCTTCTTGTGTCAAGGAATCTAGTAATCTGTATAGTAATTGTTTTGTTGCTACTTGATAATTGAAAATTGTAATGCCTTCTTTATTCATAGAACCTAGGCATGCACCAGCTTTTACCAGAGTACGACAAAGTTGACCATTTCCTTTCATATAAGCTATCAGTAATGGAGTATTGCCATCCAAATCTTGGATAAAATACATAACGTTTTATTTAGCTTATAATAAAATAATATTGCAGTTCTATTTAAAAATAATCTTATAATTTAATATATATAATACTTTCTGTATCATATGGATAAAATCAATTATTACTATATTGTTCAAATATAAACAATCACATATATATATACATATATGTACAAAAATATATCAGAAATTCAGCAGAAATACTACTTTTTTCTAATTAACCGTGTGAGTCCCAGGGGTTTTTGAAAAAACAGGGTCGAAAAATCCTGAACTGCGCGATGGCACTTATCTTAATCAATTACGAAGAGAAATAAGCGGCACAATAGCGCTTGTCATATTTGTTATTTTATGATATATATCTATATATATGCGTACTATTAGTTTATAAATATTTCAAGTTTTGTTCAATAAAAATTAACATAGATAACAATGAAATGAAAATAGATAAGATAACAATGAAATATAAAATACCGTCAGTCGTCCATGGCGTTCTAATGTACTGGGACTTTTCGACACAAATCTAAACAGCGCGATCACGCTGCTTGGGACTCAAACGGTTAAATATTATAATGTAAATACTTCTAATATGAACATATTAATATTTTGGAGTAGTTTGATGTATCTTTACCTGCATTATTTACTGGATATTGTGACATACATTCCAAGAAAAGTTCACATATAGTTGCAGCATTATCTTTTCCACACCTAGCTAATTCGTGTAAGGGATTTCTTCCTTTAAGATTTACAGCCTCTGCATCTAATGTACATTCAGTCAAAAGTGCTCTTACCACTGATACATGACCTTCTCTTACAGCTACATGCAATGCATTGTCACCATCTGCATTTACTGCATCGAAGTTTATATTGTTCTATAATAAGAAAGTAAATATATTCAATTATTTTCTGTTAAACTCAACTTATAACTAAAGATATATATATTTCATTTAATAAGATTTCTGAAGTAGTTTATTTTATAATACCATTTAGATCAAACATATAGATAAGTTATGATATTCACCTGCAATAAAGCAGATACAATTGCTGCATGACCAGCTTTTGCAGCAGCATGCAATGCAGTATTTCTGTTTGCATCTGTATCATTAACACGTGCACCAGCCAATATTAAACTTCTTACTAACATTTCATTTCCAGAAACCGCAGCAAGATGTAAAGGTGGAGTTTGTGTAACATCATGAACTCTGGAATTTACGTCTACCTATAAAATATGAATCATGAATCATTTTATTGCATATGTATTTTGTTTGATTAGTTTTTTAAATACGTCAAAATTTTTATGAAATAAATATAAGTTCAAATGCATTTTAATTACTACAAAAACAATATTTACCTGTATAGATAATAGAAATAATATGCTTTCCATGTCATTCTTTTGAATAGCAGTATGTAAAAAATTTCTGCCTTTATTGTCATATTGTTCAGCAGCTTTAGGTAGTCGTTCCAATATCGCTTGAGCAGCTTTGTTGTTTCGAAATGTTAATGCTGTTGCAAATGGTGTTAAACCTTTCTTATCTCGTTTATTTAAATCTATATTAGGATGGCAAAGTAGAAGAGAAATAATTTGTGAATGTTGATTTTGTATAGCAACGTGCACTGGAGTTTTGCCCTCAACATCTCGAGCATTCACATCAGCACCATGTTCAATAAGTGTCTGTACAACTTGTTCTAAACCCCACTGACAACATAAATGTAATGGAGTACATTCATCCCTTGCTTCATCACCTCCAATACCATCTGGGCCAGGTTTTCTAGGTATGTTTAAATCACAGCCACTGTAACATACATAATTTTAGAATTTAATTATTATGATTTTTAATAATAATAAATAATAAGAAAAGATATCTTTACAATCTTTAATAATAATTATATAGAAATCTGAGTACGTCAAATTAAATTAGAATTACGAAATATTTTATTATATTTTCGATATTCTTATATAACCAAATATTTTCAAAATTCTAATTGGACCAAACCAAATATTAAATATCCTGATTTCAAATTTTTATATATTTTTAATAATTACATATCTTAATATGTAATATACCTTCTTATAAGGAACTGTGCAATATCTTCTTTGTTGTGGTCAATTGCTCTGTGTAACAATGTTTGTTGACAATCATCTGGACCAGGACCCCAACAGTCAGTGTCTGCTCCATATTTAACTAGAATAGATGCTACATCCTCTTGATCTGAATCCAGTGCATCCCATAATGGACATCCTATAGAAGTATCCACTCCTCTTTTACAAAGTGCTTCCACAACTTCACCCAGTCTACAGTGTATGGAAAGTTGCAGCGGAGTTTCTCCATCTGCAGTTCTGAATGAAATAAAGTTTTTACTGAATATCACATAATTAATAAAACCATTTGGCAACAGATTATTTAGTGATTTTAGGTTTTGTTTTATTTATTCTAACGAAGCAACACAGATAGTTATAAAATTACTTTGATAAAATTTATCTCAACCTGAAATTTCTTGCAATATCTAATGTCAAAGAGATAAATGCCATTAAGTTAAAAATGAAATAAATAAAATACAATTGTTTCTAAAATGTTTAATATCAATGCTATTTACCTAGTATTCATATCGGCACCATTTTCTAATAAAAAAATCGCTGTCGCCGAATCCTCTTTTAATATCGCTTGATGCAACAATGTTAAACCATCATTATTGCACTGATTGATATTTGCTCCAGCTTTTATTAAAGCCAAAACTATATCTTTGCCCTTCTTAAACGGAGCCTTAATAGCCAAACTTAAAGGGGTTTCATTTACGTTATTTTTTAAATTCAATTGGGAATTCGAATTAGGTGCATGCAACAATTCCATTACAATATCAAAATACAAATTGGAAACAGCAATATGTATTGGTGCATCGCCAGTAGACAATGCAACTTCGTCGACTGGGAAACCAGTTTTCAATAAAGCTCGCGTTAAATTCTTCGAACCAACTTTACAAGCTTCGTGTAAAACCAAATATCCATCATTATTCTTTTGCATTAAGTTATCCTTACAATAATCGATTAAAAATAATGCAGCTTCTTCTTTATATTCTCTTATCAAAACGTGTAATAGAGTGTCCCCTGTATTCTTATATACAGGATTCGGAGTTGCGCCCTTGATTAAAAGTTTCTTAGCAAAAAATCCACTAAATGGGTCTGTTTTCATTGCGATACACAATGGAGTATCATTTTCATTAGTGCTTTTGTCCAAATCTATACTCTGACATTCCAATAAGACATCAAAAAGTGGTTCATTTCTCTCCTGAATACAATTATGTAAGGCAGTCCTGCAAGAATAGGAATCAACAATAATATTTATAGAAGGTGTCTAACTTTAATTATAAGTTTAATGCTTTCGACACTTTATTATAAGTAGATTGCAGATGTTTATACAGTTATGGGAACTTTTAAGCTATAAAAATACACAGGTTGTGCATAATATGTAAGTATATGTGAAATATTTATAGGGATAGATTTGGATTGGTGGAACATCTAATAAGAGACTGTAAGAAAATAGGAAAAGGAGTTAGCACAGAGGATGTGGTGAGTGGAAGGAAGGACAAGAGAATAGAGAATTGGCTTAGGAATTTAAAATGGAAAAGGAATGTGGTAGAGGTGAGTTATAAGAAGTTGATAATATCAAACAAGTTAATATTTAAGATGGAAAAAGAATGAAAAGAGAAAATAAATTAAAGAATGCATAAGTTAAGTTAATATTGTGAGTTAGGACAAATGTAAATCAAATCTAAATTTCTTGGCTAATATCTATATATGTGAAATATCTAAAGTATAGTACTTATATTTAGTAGGTAAAGTAAATCTTTGTGTGGATTCCACTTCAATTTTCATAAATGTCTGCAATCTAATTATGAAATAATCTGTAAAACTAATACAGTTTTTTAAAAATTCTATCAATTCAAGGTATAAATTGCTACTTTTGAACCAATTTTAATTTTAATTTTTACAGTGACTTTCAATGAAATAATCAAGTAAAAATAATTAAATAATTATACCATCCTCTGTGATTTTGTAAATTGGGATCAATACCAGCATGAAGTAACCTGGATGCGACTGTTAACATATTTTCTGAATTATGTTTTGTTATTAAATGTAACGCAGTACATCCTTCAAGTTCTTCAGGATTTTTTATATCCTTCACGTTTCGGGTAAGTTTCATGGGCTCGCATAATTCTTTCATATTTCCATTATTTTCTAGCTGTTCTATTACGAATTCAGCCGAATAAGAATCTCCTTTAAAAATAGCAGCTTGGAGTAAAGAAAGACCTCTTGAATCTTTTGCGCTTAAATCGGCCCCGTGTTCAACTAAAGTGCGCGCCAGTGATGGTTGACGAGTTTTTAAAGCAACTTCCAAAGGCATTTCTCCTTTATGATCCAAAGCATTAATGGCTTTCGTTAACTAAGACAATAAAATATTTAATTATAGAATGATACTTATAAAATATATATAATTTTTTCATTCGATATTGTATAAAATATTTCTTATACATATATATTGTTCTAAACTAATAATTTATAAAGAAAGACATTTTTAGTTGAAAGTTTAATTTATTTAATTCATGATTGTATCTGATAAGATTAAAATAATAAAGTTTTATTTACTGAAATTGTAATTTAAAAGGTTCGTGATATGTAATTGACTGAGAACCACTGTTTTGATTTTATACAAAAGATATACGATGCGGTACGCCCAACGAAACGGATGTTTGTTCATGCACGCATTAGTGCTAGTTACATACATACATAGTTAGTATTAAAGATTACATAAACAATGTGAATGATTAAAACGGGAAGGAATATGAAGATGCACTGATTCAGCAGAAACAGTCGTTTGTAAAGGATAGAAAAGCCATGATGTGGCGTGTGATAGGCTCATCTAACAGTCAGCTTCCGATTAAAGGAGCATATTTCTTCGTAGCAGAATGAAAAACAGTTAATCAAAATCCTACGATTGCTCTATGGCATTTAGTGAATATTAATAAAGGGTGCTGTTTAAGAATGAATGACAGTGTTTAGTAGAATATAGTTGAAATGATCTCTGATGGAATCGAACGTAAATATTGAATTTCCTATGATATTATGAATTTTTAAATATTTAAGTACGAATTAAGTGCAGATTTTTTCCTACATTTTTCAATTAATATTTATTTAGTTAAATTTACATAGATCAGTCTTTTTCATAAAAGAAATTAATAAATACCTCTTATTTTGTACTGATCCAATTAATTCATAAATTAAATTTAAAAAATGTATTTTTCATTGTATAAAAATAATATTACAATATATTGAAGATTAATGCAACATACGGTTTCATTATATTGATTACAAATTGCGATAAGATTTTATAAAAATCTAAGATTTTATAAAATTTTATAAAATCTTATAAGATTTTATAAAAATCTTGTTTAAAGCAAAGGGAGTATACAAAACATTATTGTTTTCCTTTAAATAAGTTATTGAGGTTATGCTTATGCAAATATTATTTTTTAACAGAAAGATGAAAATATATAGAAGTAAATTTAATTAAATCTATTTTTATAAACTAAACACTCATTCTGTACATCAAAAGTGATTCACTTAAACTAATTTTAATGAATGATTTTTTTATGGAAATTCAGATACAAAAATAATTATTTTATATTATGTCTAACAAAAATATACAGCTATATGCATCCAAATAAATATAATAATTATTACGGTATTAAAAAATACAGTTAATTTGGAATCTTTATATTAAATCATTTTTATTTTTGAATGTCATTTCTAATAGTAACTAAACTTATTGTTGATAAATAAAATTTTTTCAGGTTTGCATAATGATGATGATAAATTGAACTATGAAATAAATAAATATAAATAAAAATTGTGCTAAAATTGGTGTAAATAGTATTATTGTATTCTAACCATATTTTGTTTAATTATAAATGAGATGACTTTCCAAATACAGTCAAAAAAGATCTTATTAATTGCTATAGTTTTTCTATGTACGTTTACATTTAACTTATATATTTTATCTTTATATAAAATAATTTATATTCACATTGAAAACATTTATTCTTTAATGTTTAATAAATATTTTTAATCATATTGTATGTCTGGAATATTCAATATTTTTAGTTACATTAATAATGCAAATAACTGCAGGAGGTATTGCATGCTTCAAATGTTATGCATCACAATCAGGACATGAAAAAACTGATTTATTATGTTCTCATTTTGATGGAAGTCCTAGGTTTCAAGTATATTGTCCTTCGTCCACACTTTGTGGAAAAAGAACGATTTATTCTAAATTCAAAAGTAAGTAAAGTGCTGCTATATGTAAATTGAAAAAACATGTTTGGCATATATATATGTTCATTAATTTATCATCTTTACCAGCACCTATGATCACAACTGTAGAAAGGGACTGTGCACCTCAAAAACGTACAGTATTAACCTATAGCGATAATAAGTGGCAAAACAGAGAGGAAATTGTAACATCAGCTTACAAAGAAGGTTGCTTTATTGGTGAAGATAGGGGAGCACCAGCAGGTCCATCAGAATATTGCTTTTGTGGTCACCATTTATGCAATTCATCAGAACCAACCAAAACCATCAATATGTTTTATATTTTTATACTAATAACAGTACTACTGTTTGCAACACTATTATGATATCCTTTCTCTAAGTACTTATTATGGTAAGAAATTTTTTTAATATATATATGATACATATATATATATTTCACTACTATTTAAAAATGGCATAAAAAGTGTTATAAAAATCGATATTTACTTTACTTTTTGATATTAATCCTTATAAATTATGAGATTGTAAATCAATAAACACATCTAAATAAAAAAACGAAATAATTTTTCTGTATCATCTATAATTATTGAACTATATCTAGCAATTTATTGTAATAATTTTCTGTAATAATTATATATTCAAATTATAATTATATATGATAATTATATATACCAAATAATAATTCCAAAAATTAATTCCAATAAAGTTTGTTACTATTAATATTTGTGAAACAATAACATAGGTTGTGAATGTCTTTAATTTACTACATAAATATTACTTTACTATTTATAAAAATTAAAGGAATAATGTGGAAACACCAAAACATGATTGTTATTATAAAATCTTGTAAGTATATTAAACTTACAAGTAAGACCTATTATATATAAATAGACATTTGTAATAATTTAAAATATGTAACTTACCCCTGTATTATTTTCCACTAAATATAAAAAAACCACATCTTCCCTCATTAGTCGAACAGCGGCATGCAATGGGTATTTACTTTTAGTCTGTAATAATTTGTATAATAGAGATCCAGGCATTTCTTTAAAGTCTTCTCCTGTTAAATCTTCCTAACGACATGAAATTTTGATCAGTTAAGAAATTGAAATTACGCAATTCAATATATGTTTCTATCTCTCTTACCCAATGTGCAGAAATCAAAGAACTGCAATGCTCTTTTAATTTCTGTGCACCTAATTCCTCAGCAGCTGCGTACAACTGAACACAATCTTTGAATCCTACAATTCCAATTAAATATTTTTCACATTGTTCAACTAATTCTGTCAGCTGAAAATTAGATGCTGCTTTCATTAATTCTAAAGTTAAATTCTCTTGAGGCACCTTCCCTGTGTATATCCATTTCAGCAATATTAATCCAATCTTAGGCTCCAAATAAGTCCAATCTAGAGAAGGTGTTTCTTATTATATCTATATACACGTAACTTTTCTTCATACATTTCTGTTTATATTTTAATGCTTTACCTAAAATGGTTACTTCTGATAGCGTTGCTTCACTGAAAAAATCTGTTCTAGCAGACAATATAAATTTATGTGCTGGTATTTCTTGATTTTTCAATTTGATGATCACATCGCTAAAAGATATATGTTTATTAGTGACAAAGCTTATATAATAAATTATGATTTGAAGAAGTTATAAACCTATAACGTTGTTGACTATATAGAGATCCAATGGTTGTCAAAAGTCTACCAATAAATCCTGTATCTTGTTTATTTGCAGTAACAATTGCATATTCACGTTGAAGTTCCGTATTTGTATTGTATAAATTAACATACTGCTCCCGTAATAAAGATAAATGCTGTTGCCATTTTTGAGCTTCTGTAGAATCTTCTGAAATGTATGAAGTGTAAAATAGTCTATAAAACGTAAATAAACATTTTGAACTTACCCATAATTATTATGAACAATTATTTTTACTCTTCTTGAATGTAGTATGAAAGTTATTGCATGTCCGGCTTTTTACGTTAGTTCATATTTGTTCAATATAATCTGTTCTACGTGATAACGATAAAAAATAGATAATAATGATCAAAAGTTTCTACGAGAGATCTCGGAAAATAGTGTCGATGTTTCGTTTACGCTAAAAACATATATTAATAAGATTCTAACACGTATTCTACGCCCACGTACAGTATTCATTACATTTGTAATTCACATACATATTTTTCTTTCTGAAGAAAATGTAGCCACACTTTTGAAAGACAGAAAAAATTCCTATAGAATTTAAACTACAAAAAAGTAGAAATCGCTCTTTCGTTAGTTTCGATCATAACAATGGTAGTATTACATACGGACAAATTTCTTATATTATGTTAATTAAAGCCACCTTTTAGATTCTATTCGGTGCATGGATCTGCTAAATCATAGTTCATAACACAATAATGAATGATATTATACAAATTCATGGAACTATTATATCAACGTTTCGATAAAGCTCATTCCCCAGATTTAATCTAGTTCTATTAATTGCATGTAAAATAAAAATATAAAAAGATACATTTTTGTAGGTTTACATTTTAAATATATTTTGAATAAAAACATGATATGATATCAAATATTCAAACGTTATTTAAAAAATAGATATCATAAGTATTAATGACTTTTAGCAAAAATAACTAACAACAGATAAAGATAAAATAATTAACGGATTTAACTTTTAGGAAAGATATTAGCTATAACTGTAACTTTATATCGGAACATAAGTTATGTAACTATCTTTTTGGTAATATTTTAATAATATTATTTACATCAAAAAGAAAATTTGACATAACACAAGTATGTATACATATGTAGTATATATATGTATATGTATACGCTATCATCATATAGATCAGCTAGCATATATATAATATATGCTAATATAATATAATATAATTTATTATATATATAATAATACGTGCGGTGGATAAATATATATAATTTAAGATACGATGTTAATTAATTATGAGTTATATTTAAATTCAAATTATTGGAGATATCTACTGTAAATTTTCCAAATAAACAAATTTATATGGAGATACTACTGTTTTGTCAATATTGTCGAATCTACACTAGTTTTCAAGCTACAAATATGAATTTTTTCATTAAATTAAGAATTGTATTGAAATTAAAAGTTCATATACAAATGACTAATTTGCATATAGCAATTGTTAAATACAGTGATAACTAAAAATTACATTTAAGTAACATATAAATTGTAATTGTAGTAATTGAAATCTGAATTTATTAAATAGAATTTATTAATTAAAAGAAATGGAAATAAATCAGATTAGTAATTTATCTTTGAAAGAGAATATACACAAATTATTAGCGATATGCGGTTCAATAACTAAAGAAGGTATTGATGAACTAATTCATATATTGCACAACTTCAGATCGTTGTATTTGATATTTATCACTTTTCATTTTATCTTTGTTGTCTAATTTTCACAATAAATATTTATTTAAGCTTTATTTAATCAATATAGTTGAAAGAAGAAGTTGAAATTATCATTTATAAATTTATCATACTGTCTTTTTAACATAAAATAACAAGAAATATTTGCTTCAGATTTGTCACAAATATTTTATAAACTTGAGGATTGTAATCAATCAAAGTTGACAATTGGAATGTTTTTTGAATTCATAAAACTTGCATTCCAAGTTAATGACAATTGTGGAAGTTTAACTACAATATTAACCACAGAGAACAAGCTTGATTGGGGCAAGTTAACAAAAATTGATATACATTATAAAATACAGAATTATAATAATACTGATGAAAAGTACATTAATAGTAATGTCATGCAGAAACATAAAAGTATTCATACAGCAGAAGAAATTTCATCTGATACAGATGATAACAATATTAAATACTCTCTACATTGCATTGTGCCTCCAAATATGCAACTTAAAAATAAGCAAACACATACTTATGATCAAAATGTAATATCTGATTTTGAAAGATGCAATCAAATTATGCAAAGTTCATTACGAATAGAGGATATGAACATTGGAAGATCTGTAGATACAACAGAAAATTTTTTAATTACCTTAATGAAAACAAATCTAAGTGATGTACTGCATGAAGGTTTATTAGATTCAATATTGCCATATATGATTCCAAAACCTACTATTTCACAGCCTATTATTAAAAAATCTATTATAAGTACCGAGGTGAAGAAATGTAATTCATTGACTAATAATATTGAAACCAAGGTACTTACGAATGTCATGCATAAAGAAAAGGAAAAAGATAAAAGTAAATCAAGTAAGAGATCAACTGAGTAAGTGTACCAATAATTAATATCAATCGAAAGTAAATTTAATATTGACGTTGAAAATAATTTTTTATAGAATTAATAACAGTTTATTCTACGCTTGTACAGCAATGAAGTGGAAATTCACGTCTGTGACGAAGAAAAGAACATTAAAAAAAATTTCCATTGTCCTCAAAAGCTTCTTATTCAAAAAATGCGTTATTTTGCTGATGTGACAGCAGGTCAAAAATTAGAGGAAATAGATATATCAGTTCATTGTGATGTTACAATATTTGATTGGCTAATGAGATGGGTGAAAAAAGATATTATAAAAAAATCTGAATGGCCAGTTTTGGAAATTAATAATGTTATTCCAATAATGGTGTCTGCATCATTTTTACAAATGGAACCACTACTAGAAAGCTGCTTACAATATTGTCGTGAAAACATATCTGATATATTGAAAACATCAACAGTTTTAACTGGGTTAGATGATAATCTTTTAATAAGGTAGGTGTTTTATTTTTATACAGTTTTAAATATTTTAAATGTTCATTAAGCAAAAAAATTTATTTCTTTATTATTGCAACAAAATGCATAGAAAAAAATATTTATTTGTTCAGTATTTGCAAATTTATACCATTTATTCTTAATTAATAATATATCAAATCCAGTTAATATCTCTTTTCAGATTAGTAGAACAATTTACAAATGAAGATGTTGAAGCATTAAAAGACAAAAAGGATAAAATTCAAAGTAAATTATTTTGTAAGTTGATTATGTCTCTTGCCGAGGTAATGCCAGATAATAAGAGGGGACACTATAGTTCTTTAGCTACTTTATTTAAGTGCAGTAAATGTGGGAAAAATATTATTCAATCAGTTTCTAATTATGTACCATGTATTTCAAGTGCAATGAAAATTGACAACCATGGGAATATTCACAGCAAACACATAAGGTACGATTTTAGTATTTAAACTTAGTATCGAGAGATGTATAATTGTAATAAAATTTACATTACAGAGATTTGACATGGACTTTAAATGATTACATTATTAGTCTTCGAACAGAGTTACGTTCTTGGCGTAAAGTTTATTGGAGGCTATGGGGAGATTGTCACTTTTTATTTTGTACACAGTGTAATATATATTTTCCAATCCATCACTTTGAGTGGTGCTGCTATCATACAGAATTTCCACAGTTTTTTATTAATGAACAACAACGGCCTATACCATTTCCTCTGGGCAGATATCCATGCTGTAGTCAACGGGCATATAAGTTTGGAGTATTACCAAATCATGAAGGTTGTAGGTATAGGGTACGCATTTGTTAATATCACTTCTGAATTTTGAAAGTTTCCAAAAATATGAACTTCATAACTACTGTGTTGTTTCTTCCTTAGGAACATATTCCAGATATTAAGACTCAAACAGACATAAGTGTATTGAATATTTTTACAGTACATAGGGAAGTAATAGTTATGAAACCACCGCAATTGTTTTTCCCAGAAAAGATTACTAGATTAGTAGCTCGTGATGCATCACTTCAACCAGGAAAATTAATATGTAAAGATGTAATGTGGTGGCTTGGTATAGAACTTACACCACAGCGACCAAGACTTGGACTTTTAGGTAAATTAACATATTTTAATGCTTATAAGTAATGATAATAATGGTATATTTTCTAAATATTTAGGAAAAATTTGGAGCGGGTCAGGATTCCGACGAATATCTCAAATGCATGATTTACAAAAATCATCACAAAAGGTTCGTCAGCAAGTTTCTATTACAACTGATACTTCATCGATTACATCTTCGACAACAGATAGCGATATGGATGATGGTATTACAACTTATGAATATAGTAGTATTGATGAAGAATCAAATCATAGTGAAGAATCTCATGCACGGTCTTCATTAAAATTAAAAAGTAAAATAAAAAAGAAATCAAGAAATGACATCATGTGGAGGTGATTAATGTCATATGAAAGAAATTTATATTATGATATTGTTTTAAAGTGACAAAATTATTCATGCTTACTGATATAAGATAATTTTAGAAATAATGGTCGCTCGTGGAGTGGTAATCTAAATGTAAGACACAATCAAGATAATCAAAGAGATTTTGAAGAGAATGCAGCTTTACAAATGATAACGCTACTAACAAAGAGAGTATCTGTAGATTCTTCTTCGCTATTAAAATCATCTACTAAACATAATCGGATAAAAAAACAATTAAATGGTACATTTATTACATATTATATTTTTAGAAAATATACAGTTTTTATAAATAATGTTATTCAAAGCAGGAGGAATTTATACAAGATTGGAAGCAGAACTTCGTGATCAACTAAATCAATCTTATAAAAATAAAAATATAACTGGGAAGTATTTTCTACGTACGAAATTAAATAAATCATAAGTATATCAGACTAGTATAACTGTTACTGACTGTTTTGTATGTTGAACTCTTTCACAAAATAAAATATTTTTTTACTTTTTGTTTAAACATCATTAAATAAACCTTAGTATTATATGACAAATGATACAAAAATAAATATTATATAGTAACTAAAAATAATATGAAACTAAAACAAACTTATATATTTATACTGTATTATCCATTCAAGAAAGAAGTTGAGGCATTTAAGTTTCTCCTTGTTTTTTGTATAAGTCACTCCTATCTAATAGGTTGTTAAGTTCTTCCTCCGTAAAGACTGTATTGAAAATCATTAAAAATGATTAAAAATTATACAAAATTACTTATGATTATAAAAATTACGAAATGTGGGTATTAAAATTATGTACATTTCAATAATTTACCTTCATTTTCAGATGCAACTATTTGACATTCTTTTGATCCTAAAAGTTTTTGTAACTTCAGTAAATCTGCTTTGTTATTCACATTTATCGACTGAATGTGTTTGGAGATTACTACTTTCTCTAGAAGGCGTTTTGCATCAGCGCGATTAATAATTGCTTCATCAATAGTTCCTTTGGTACATAATTTATATATTACTACTGGACGTGTTTGACCTATTCTATGGCAACGTGCCATAGCTTGTATATCCGCTTGAGGATTCTGCAAATGTATCAAATTGCTTTTAATTAACAATGTGATATCAGGATTTTTATACTTATCATCATAGGTAATAATAATAAGAAATTAGTATCAGTTAGTATTAGAAGTTACAATTTCTATAATAAAAGTAATAAAACAAACAACAATGTACCCAATCACAATCATATATGATAACAGTATCTGCCCCAACAAGATTTAATCCAATGCCACCTGCTCTTGTAGATATAAGGAATAGAAATATTTCAGGATTTGTATTGAAATTGTGAATATTTTCCTTTCGATCCACAAGCTTAGTAGAGCCATCTAATCTGACATATTTGTAATCACGTAATGAAAGATAATCTTCTATAACATCTAATATCATTGTCATGGTGGAAAATAATAAAACTTTGTGCCCATATTTTTTAAGTCTTGCAAGCATTGCATCTAATACTAAAAGCTTACCAGATGATCTAACTAATTCTTCATTTATTTGTGGCAAGAAATCTGGACCTAATGGGCAATGTATTAAATATGGGTGATTTACAATCTTTTTGTACAAACTAACTGAAACAATGAAGAGATAAACATAAGAATAAAATATTTGAATGGTTAATATATATCTACACTAAATAATAACTTACTATGTCTAGTCTGAACATTAATTAAGAAGTCTTTATTACGCTCTGTAACATCAGTGTATTTTTTCCACATTAATAAATTTTCTTCATTTCCAGATTTTACATTTATCCAAGTTTCACTGTCTCCACTATCATCAATTTGTTGAAGTGAACTATTTGATGAGACGTCATTATCAAGATATGTACTCATAATATTATTCATATTTCTTAAGGCACATTTTCTTTTTGGTCTTTTACCATCTTCTGTGTATATAATCGGTTCTTCCTCAATCTTGCTTAATTGATCTATATCATGATTTAATACTGCTTTATATAAACTATGCTGTAATTCTGTCAGAGGGGCATAAACAACTAATTCCTTTTTTGGCGGTATGTCCAAACAAACCTCGCTCTTTTCACGTCTCAACAGAAATGGTTGTAATATCTCACGTAATGATGACAGTACTCGTTTTTCTTCTTCTAACTTTAAGAATTTTTTTGTTCCTTCATCACCCTGATGTTTTTTTGCATCAAACCATGATTCAAAAACAGCTAAATCATCAAAAATTTCTGGTAACAAAAAATTTAACAATGACCACAGTTCTGCTAAATTATTTTGTAGTGGTGTGCCTGTTAATAAAAGTCTGTTCATGGATTTACAAGCCTTTAAAATCCTATAAAATAGTAATGAATTATATTATTTACAATTCAATGTTTATGATATAAATAAGTAGTTGAATTTTAACAACATACTTTATAAGTTGACATTCATGATTTTTAATTCTGTGTCCTTCATCTATGATTATATATCTCCAGCTCAAAGATTTAATAAAACTGCTTTCAAGTAATGGCACTTCGAAAGATGTAAGTACAATTGGGAATGTACTATAAGTTTCTGTAATCTTATATTTATGTTTAATTTTGCTCCTTAGTATTAATTTTTCCTCTGGTGTTCCATGAAATAACACAATGGGCAAGTTTGGTGCAAATTTTTCAAATTCTAACATCCAATTTGGTAGAGTTGAGAGAGGAGCAACTAATAAATACGGTCCACCTTGCCGTTTTTCAATGAGATGACACAGTAAGGCTATGACTTGAACTGTTTTCCCAAGTCCCATTTCATCAGCCAAAATTCCATTTATACCATTTTCATAAAGAACTTTTAGCCATTGGAGTCCTTCCTTCTGATAGTCTCGTAACTCTCCTTTAAAATATTTTGGTGTTTCAATAATAACATTGTTGCTATTCTCTGTTTCACCCTTAAAATCATTTTTTAATTCATTTTCAGTTTCATCTTCACTTAAATTTAACTTGTTTTTATTTATATGTATTTTCTTTTGTACCTAGAAATTACATATATAACAGTAAAGAAAACATTAACAAATCATAAAATGTGTATAAAAATTATAATTATCATATAATTATAAGTACTACTATATTTATTTACATCTTTAGATATATATTTTTGGGTATTATTATTTTTTTTTTTTCCTTTGTCATATGGTGCTATGTTTTCATTTGCATACTGTATTTTCTTTCCATCCCTTTTTGTGGATTTGTTAGATTTACTAGCATTTTTCTCCAAACTTTTGTCAATTTTACTAACAATAAATGAAGCATAAAATTTACTTCTACTTAACAAATGCATTAATCGTTTATATTGTTGTTCTTGAATTTGTTGATTATATTCTTCCTCAGCTAATTGTTTGTTTTCTGCTTTTTCCTGTCGTTTTCTTTTCTTTTGATTTATTTTAGATTCTTCCAGTGGTTCATTGTTAAATTTGACATTGTCTACAATGCTTCTAGAATTGCCTTTCCATATATAAGAAATAAGAATAATATAAATATATGACAAAAATATTAAGTAAACATAAAAAATTAATATCCGCTTTTTTTAATATCATAAGAATTATGATACATATTGATTAAATTCTTGTTTTAGAGAAAAATATTATTTTTCACAATTACTTAACAAAATTTCAATTTCAAGTCATTTTAAAAAGTAATAAATGAAAAAAATAAGGAGTAAACCAACAATAAAATATAACAGAATAATTTTGAATATTTGACTTTTCAATAGAAAGAAATATTAAATTTATATTACATGTTGCGTTTAAAATGAGATCGCTAATTGTTTCACATAAATAAAATTTATATTAGAAATATTGAAAAGTTGATGTAAATCTTGTTATTGAAAGAAATAGTGATGTATGTAACAACTTTCTTTTATTTTCATAACAATTTGTATAATTTTAATAAGAGAGTTTTACCTGTAACTAAACTCGTATTGCTAGAAATAAGAATTTTTGTGCCACAATTATTACTTTCCATTTCGAGAAGTGATTAAAAGTAACTTTTAATATTTATTTATTAAAAAACAACTTCAAATCAAGGAGAAAACGAATTTAATAAAATATATGAATATCTCACGTGCTGAGAAACTCCCGCTAAATTTGACTACACATACGAATATATAACTATCTTTTGCGTGGTTAGATTCGTAATAATTGGCAGAGAATGGCGTTGCGGTCGCCCAACTACAGCTTCGGGCTTTGCATTGAGCCGTTTCTATGAGCCAATCTTAGCTCACGCACTGGCGAAGTTATAGCTGGTTTACCGTCTTGGATTTGGTCATTGTTGAGTTGATGAGATATGAATTAATCGGTGCAAAAGAATGAATAACTATCATGGACGTGGAAATATAGGTTGTAGTCAAGATTATATATAGAGGTCTCTATATTCATATAGCGAAACCTAGGGAAAACTGTCCAAAAATCAAGTCGTGACTACCACCATATAAATAGATCTCCAGACTCGCTAGGGAAAATCGTCTGAAAATTGAGTCGTGACTAGTTGTGAAAAATGTATTCTCCGCATGCGTGATCAGAGAGGAAATGAGAGTGGATTATGGACCTGGTTGTTCCCGGACTAGTGCTGCACCATACGACCAAATGCTGAATTTAACTAAGATTAGCAGATACAAGAACTTTTACATCGAAGCTTAAAGTCAGGGATCTGTCCTGTTTGGTTACACACTAGAATAGACAAGAATCTACTAAGTTCCACGCTACAAGAACCTATTTAATTGTACGGTTCTATGGAAAAGTATGAGAATGACAAAATCGCGCAACAATAACACATTGTAAGTTGCCTAAGAAAGAGAAATTAATAGTTTACTACATTTTTTTTGGAGGAGATAAAAGAATATTCCCTTTCAAACGATTATGGATTAGTGGAATGATGCAATAATTTTAATACACCATTTAGATTTAACATTAATCTTTGGTACTTGGCGTGTTAATTGTACTGACATGAATATTTTTCATCGTCGCATAAAATCATATATTCTTTTTCCTTAGTACGATTATGCTCGCTGAAATGAATTAAACGATTTTACATATAAGGTCATTTGTTGTTGTAAAATGTTATAATGCTTTTTTAGCATTTTCTGATAGCTCTCATGAATAAAGAAAAATAGAGACGACATATGGAAGTTTCCAATTTAGGAATCCATTGGCTCAAAAGTCTTGCGTTTTTAAAATTTGGTACTTTTAGACTACTGCATAGCTTACTTTAACGTGACAGCCATTTAAACAGTAAATTTTATTATTTATTTAAACACATATTGTGTTCAGAATAACGTAATATCGCTTTATCATCAATATATAAATCGATTTGTCAAATAATGTTTTGAATAATGGTTATACGTGGCGCATCTAATATTACTTGTATTTTTCTATCTTCATAAGACAATATTCAATTACACTCATAGTACCAACAAAGACGAACAACGTATAAGAAAAAAAGTCATGTGGAATAGGCCAGATAATTTAATAAAAAAATATCAAACTTTAACAATGTGCAAATTTTGAACCAGTGCAATGAATTCTTGGATTTCAAATCGTAATTTCTATAATCAAAGTCGTTATATCTCTCCTTCATTTATCGAATTCAGGAAACATTCGATAATTATACAAAAAGGTCCTTTGCATAATTACACACTCGTGCACTCTTCCCCATTACGGAGGTTCCCGTAATGCGCCGAGAAGCTCGATAGTCTGCCGCAATCGAGTGGTATAATATAATCCAATATCAGATATCGCCGAGACAATGTATCTAGGTACTAATTTAAAAGTGAAACTTTTTATTTTTGGTCTTTTTAAGATTAAACTTTTACTAACGTATTTGTGAGATCTTTCTGACTAAAATAAGTAAACAAATATGCTCCAAATTATATCGTGTTTTGTGTCATTTTAATTACAAAAATGTAAGAAACATGTTGGTAAATGTTTCATTTATCACGAAGCCAAAATAAGAAAGTTTGAGTTTTGAGTCTCAGCTTATCGCGGGCTTTTAATATTTGTCGTGTGTTTAATATGTTTAATATTTGATCGTTTAGATTCTCAGTCTATCCTTTTCTTTCACTCGCATTGTTCTTTTCTACTTTCGACGCGTCTAAGATCTCAGCTTCGAGAAATAGAATCGTTTCTACATTTCCATTATTGTAATACATGGATCCCGATTTTTGTGCAATTATCAAATGTTTCCTGTATTGTCAAAAGACGCAATAATAATTGAGGAAGAAATTGTGCCTGGAGACAAAGTTCAGCTATTTTTTCAATTAAAATATGTTCATAATAGGGGCATTTTAGCATTTTGATGATATCTTAGGATTTATAATAAAACAATTACATAGCTTTTTTTTATTGAAGTGCGGCACGTCATAGGCGAAAGATTGACCCCTTCGGCGATTGTAGAAGCGATGTTGAGCGGGCCACAGGAATACGAGGCTGTCCGCCTCTTCTGCGAGCGAGTTATGCTCGCAAAGGAGCGAGCAGAAAGGGAGAGAAAGAAAAACTCTCACCCTTGTAGGATAAGGCGATGGAGGGGGATGACGGTCAGGCGGCCTAGACCGCTTCATCGCCGCCCTAACGAACCACGACTAGAAGGGAGGATAGTGCTAGAGACAATGGCCCCCCTAACGCCAAATTCAACAGTCAGAGAATTATTAGGCCTAGCTCGAACAAGAGAACGCGGGAAGGGGGTGCAACAGAAGATAATTCATAGGAGGTTCCTGGAGCACTACTGTCATACGCGTAGGATGGTCATCGTGGAGTTTTAGTTGGTAGGAGTCCGACACTACTCTGCTGTTATCGGTTATTAGCAGCAGCGGTGTGTCCATGAGGATTTCTCCCTTGCAAAAAAAGAAAAAAGATTCAAAATCGATATATCTTGCCTCCATTTGTCGAATACAGGAAGCATTCGATAATTGTACAAAAAGATCCTCTGCATAATTGCACACTTGAGCACTCACTCATACTACGGCGGGAGAGGGGGGTTCTTCTAACGCACCAAGAAGCTCGATCAGATAGTGTAACATGATCCAATATCAGATATCGCTGAGACAATGTATCTGGGTATTAATTTATAAGTGAAACCTCTTTTATTTTTTACTTTCCTAAAACTGAACTTTTACTAACGTAAATCATTATTGCGTGATTTTGTCATTCTCATACTTGTCTATTTCAAGTAGAAAAGTAGATATGAACATTTCCGTAGTACTGTACAACAGGTTCAAGGACAAATTGGTTCTTATAACGTGGAACCAATGGGTTCTTGTATATGCTAACTTTAATTAACTTCAGCATTTAGCCGCATGGTGCAGCACCTGTTTTGTGAAATAGCTAGAACTACGGGCGTGAGTAATCTCATTTCCTCGCTGCTATCAGCTAGCTGGTTTATGCTTTTATCTGTCATAAACGTATTTGTAAAGTATCGTGATTATAATTAATAACTAAAATTATTCATTATGCCAATTTTGGATAAACGTAAAGGAGATGATATCTTAGCATTAGTTCCTGCCTCAAAACGTACCAAAAATGAGGTAGTCTTTAGTAGTAGAGAAAAAGCAGTTGTACAAAATGTAAGTTAAACTAACGTTATTCATCTTATAATTGTTGAATAAAGCTTTGAAGTAATAATTTATTTTTTTCTTCAGGGTCCACCTAGAACATCTTCTCTATTTGCACCTATTATGCTCCTTGAAGGACATCAAGGAGATATATTTTCTCTTGAATTTCATCCAGAGGGTCAATATCTTGCTTCCACAGGCTTTGATAGACAAATTTGTATGTTACCAATGATTTAAAAAACTGTGAATGCATTACATATACTTTATAGTAGATGCAAATATAATATATATATACTTACAGTTATTTGGAATGTCTATGGGGAATGTGAAAATATTTCTGTATTAACTGGACATAGTGGAGCGATTATGGAATTACACTTTAGTCCTGATGGCAATCATTTATATACAGCTAGTACAGACATGACATTAGGTTTATGGGACATAGCTGCTGGAACTAGAATAAAAAAGCTCAAAGGTCATACTTCCTTTGTAAACTCTGTGTCTGGAGCAAGAAGAGGCCTTACACAACTTTGTTCAGGTAGCGATGATAGCACAATACGTGTTTGGGATCCCAGAAAAAGAGGACAGTGTTATACCCTAAATAATACATATCAGGTAATACCTTTCTCATAATGATTTTTGATTTTTTGAATTCATTATTTATCAGGTTTTGGCATTTTCTATTCTCTTTCTCTTTTTTTTTATTTTAATGTAGGTTACTGCTGTAACATTTAATGATACAGCAGAACAAGTAATAAGTGGAGGAATAGATAATGATATAAAAGTATGGGATTTAAGAAAAAATTCTATTCTTTATAAACTAAAAGGACATTCTGATACTATAACTGGATTAAGTCTTAGTCCGGATGGTTCTTATATATTATCAAATGCTGTAGATAACACATTAAGAATTTGGGATGTAAGACCATTTGCTCCTTACGAACGTTGTGTAAAAATTATTTCTGGACATCAGCATAATTTTGAAAAGGTGGGTTTTTAATTTTTGATACATATATTATTAAGATTTTATGATTCTATTTATTTAAATAATTGCAGAATCTTCTGAGATGTGCATGGTCTCCAGATGGTAGTAAAGTATCAGCTGGATCATCAGATAGATTTCATTATATTTGGGATACTACAAGTCGTAGGATATTATACAAATTACCTGGTCATAATGGTTCCGTCAATGATATTGACTTTCATCCAAAAGAACCGATTGGTAATACATATAAAATTATAAAATGCTGTAATGATTAGTCTATTATAATAATTTTAAATGTCTTTTTCTTACTTTTAGTTTGCTCTGGATCCAGTGATAAACAAATATACCTGGGAGAAATTGAAGCTGCACAATAAGGAAATTAAAATTGATTTTCACTTGATTTTTAAATTTAGATATCTATATAAAATAAAATGTGTAATAATATTACATGTATAGATCATTTTGTATTCTCATTTTATACCTTTCTATGTATACTTGTTCTATCATCAAAAGAAAGTATTCAAAAAAATATTTTAGTCAGTAAATAAAAAATTTCAAAAATAAAAGGAAATGTAACTATATATAAAGTTATTTTTAAACAAATTTTTTATTGAATACATCGCTAACTTAAATTCCCACTCTAACTGTAATCTATTTCAAACACCCTTATCGATTCACTTTGGCTTAACTTCACGCGATATATTTTAGTGCACTAGGCGTTTCTAATTCTTCATTCGTTTATTTTTCATCGTCTTCCACATTTTTATTTATTCTAATTTTAAGGTAAGTACGCACTCTCTTCTTAATTTTCTTGTGTAACAAATATTTTTAATTTTATGTTAAAACAATCGAAATTATTTTATGGTACGATTTGTCAAACAAGTATTGCAAACTATTGAGAAAGACTCTTCTACGAAATGGCTATCTCCACGTATGAATCACAGTGGAATCAAACAATCACAAAATTTAGTTAAATAACGAAGTTTGATATATTTTTTCTTTTATATTAGTCCAATTTTTCATATTAGATAACTTAACCATTGTTTACGTTATATCAGTAAAAACATAGAGTAAAATTATATCCGTGATACATTTATTTTTCAAGATTTGTAATTTAATTTATTATTTATAAGAATGTCAACTCCATGGGCGAAAATTCAGCCAGTAGAAGGCCCTGTCAATTTATTAGAGATTACTTCGGAACAACTTGCAAAGAGCTTGCAAGAAAAGTAAGTAATAAGTAATT